CTTAACACGGTAGGGCAGAAGGAGAAGGAGTCCTTGACTCAATTCTTGACCCGTTGGAGGGATGAGGTCGACAAGGTAGAAGAGATGGACGACAAGACGGCCATGTCTTTGCTGATGAATGCCTTCCGGTCGGGTGACCTCTACACCGAATTCTGTAGGAGGCCACCCTCCTCTTACCAAGAAGCCTACAATACGGCATGGGAGTATGCCGACGCGGAGGCCTTGAATAAGAGCAAGCGGGAATTGGAGGAAGGATATACGAAGGTGAAAACCGACAAGCCGAAGAAAGACGACCAGGCGGGAGGGTCCAAACTAAAGGCTACGTATAATGGGTCTGTCCATTAAATAAGGGATGATAAAAAGGGAGAGCAGTCCAAGAGGCCATGGACGGAGAAGTGGTGTACCTACCACCAATCCGACTCCCACAATACGGAGGATTGTCGGAATGTCAAGGCTGTGCTCAAAGAGATGGCCTTGAAGGGAGAGCTTGGGGAAGGTTACGCGACGGGGAATATGAAGGATCTGAAAGCGAACACCTGGACCCGTCCTCAGGGAAAAGACCAGGGAAGGAGAAAATCCGGGAAGGATAACAACAATCCGGATAAAGAATTCATTGAGATGATTGTCGGTGGCCCGGAAGGCGGGACACTGCCTCCCAGCGGAAGAACTGGGCCAGGAGCTTACACGTAGCGGTGGTTTCCTTGGAATCACAAGGAAAGCAGGCAAGAAGGGAACCTATCGCTTTCACTGATAGGGATCTGCCCAGGACGGGGGGAGATCACAATGACCCTTTGGTCATTACAATGGACATCAACGGGGCTGATGTGGCCAGAGTACTAGTTGACACAAGAAGCAGTGTCAATGTTTTATACTTAGATGCTTTCAATAAATTGAAGCTTGACAGGTCCGTGTTGAGGCCATTGCAAACTCCATTGTCAAGCTTTACTAGAGCTAGCATAGAAGCGGAAGGTCAGATAACCTTACCGGTTACCTTGGGGTTAGGTAACAGGACAGTGACCAATCCAATGAGATTTGTTGTGGTCGACATCAAATGTGTGCATAATGCCATTCTGGGTAGGCCTGGAATCAACCAGGTCAGGGCTATTATTTCCATGGCACACTTATGCATGAAGTTTTACACTCCCAATGGAATCGGGGAGGAAAGGGGTGATCAAAAGAACGCCCGGTCCTGCTACCTGGAAGCAGTCAAGAAGATGACCCGC